CCCCGGCGGCGGTCACGGCCCCTGCGGCGGGGTCGGGGGAATCTGCAAGGCTGATGTCCGAGGTGCTGCCGTAGTGCACGTGGATGGGTTTGGGGGGCTCCTGGGGGAGGCCTTGCCCGCCCGAGAAGGCCGCAGAGGTGGCCCCGGCGACCTCGGGGGGCCCGTGGAGACTCCGGACGCTCACCTGGTCCTGGTCGCCCCAGCCCGCGCAGTCCGGCTCCCCGACGCCCGTCTCCTCCTCGACCCCGGGCACGCACACCATGTCCCCGGCCGGGAGGGCGTAGGTGCCGCTGTGGCTGTCCACGGGCGGCCGCAGGAGGTAGGTGAGCTTCTCCCAGTGGGCGAACAGGTTGTCCCGCGTGCTCTGCGCCGGACACAGCTGCAGGTAGCAGGAGCGGCCGGTGGCCAGCTTGAGGCGCAGCTGCTGGTTCTCTCGGTCGTGCACCGAGAGCCTCACGAACTTCAGCGGCAGCAGGCGGGTGAGCTCCACGGCCTTGGACCCCTTGTGGCCTTTGGCCCGGGCCGGGCGGCCCGTGCGGTCCTCCAGGCTGGCGGCCGGGCGGGCCAGCAGCATGACGTCCGGCATGGGCAGCAGGGGGCTGGTGGAGGCGACGGCCACCGTCACCATGCGCACACGATTGTGCACGTCGATGACCTCGCCCCGCTTGGTGACCTGGATGAAGTCGCTCTCGAAGATGGGCGCGTGCTTGAAGATGTCAAACTCCCCCTGGTGCAGCTGACGCTGCAGCTTGCCCGCGGCCGTGTGGAACATCCCGCATCCCGCCCCGCCGCTCTGGGCCGTGTGGTAGGGCAGCTCGCCGGGCCTGGCCATGCCGGCTCCGCCCGTGTCCACCTCTCCCCGGGCTGCCGCCGGTCTCCCGGCCTCACCCCTCTCTCCAAGGGGCGTCGGGGAGGGGTGCGGAAGGCGGCCGTGGGGACCCAGAGGGCGCGAAGATCGCAGCCTGCACCTGCTCTGTACCCCCAAGGCTGAGGACCACAGGCCTGGGAGAGAAATGCCCCCCTTCTCTGCCTGGACCCCCGCGCAGGCCCTTTTCACCCCTCCCCACCCTTTGTGACTTGTTACCTTCACACACACCTTTGTTGTCCCCCACCCACCGGGGCAGGGCTCCCCGCCTCTCCCCTGTCACCTCCCCAGCCCGGGCAGGGCTCCCCTGCAGCCCCCACAAAGCCAGGCCCATGCTGCCAGGGACTTCGGGGGCGCCTAAATGAACATGCCTGCAGATGGAGCGTTTAGTGGGGGGTGCTTGATTTCCTCTCCCGCGTTCAAGTCCTGAGCCAACTGGACAGGATCTCCAGGGGCGTGAAGTGCAGGCCTGAACCCTGGGCGCTGAGCGTGTGAGGGAAGGTGGGCCCGGCAGTGTGGCCCTTCCGTCGAGTCTCAGCCAACGAGCTTGGCCTCTCATGAGGGCAGCGGAAGTGTGGGTCTGGCTCCCGTGAGGACCCGTGGGGTGACGCGGCTGCCTCCCCCAGGCCTGAGGGAGGCCCAGGGAAGCTAGGCAGGACGGGCCTCACAGAGCGAGCCCAGGCTCCCCAGAAGCTCATGCTGCACCAGCAACAGTGCCGTGTGAGACTCTGGGGGTTCGCGCTGGGTGACGGGGTGCCGGGCGGAGCTTCAGGCAGGGGCAGGCCAGGGACCAGCTCGGCGGCCAGGGCTTCTGCAGAGAAAGCGCCATCACGGCTTGTTCCTGCCAAAGACTTTGCTCCCTGCCAGTGAAACGGGCTGGGGTAACCAGAAACCTCCCCCAACTTCTTACTTCCTAGTAGAGTTATGTGTGAAACCCCACTGTAGAGCGTCACTGACCCTTGAGGATACTTTGTTAAAATATTCAGGCCTGTCCATCGACAGATGAACAAGCAGAACAGTGGTCTCTCCAGGCAGTGGAATATTATTCGGTCATGAAAAAGCACAGCTGATGCTGGACCTGGCTGCCAGTGGAGGGAGGGAGCCCTGTGGGAGGGGCCAGTAGCAACACTGGCAGAGACCTACAGATGCCCAGCGAGTGGCTCTGGCTGTGGCTCCAGGGAGCCCGGGCACCCTCCCTTTTATATGTCCTTCCTGGGTTGTGGAATGGGCCAATCAGGTATGAGCGATGAGCTGATTGGTACGAAATGGTCCAATCAGCCACAGGATTAAAAAAATGGTCCAATCAGGTGAGGCCCCCTGAAAGAGGCTATAAGCCAGGCAGGAGGGGTCTGGGGCTCTCTGGGGGTCCTTTCTCTCCCCCCCTGAGGGGGCCCCAGAGGCCCAGGGCCGAGCCTCAAAGAGCAGCTGTTGCTGGGGTCGTCCAGCTGCCTGCGGAGAGCTGTGAACACTGGGTGTCTCTGGCACCGCCTCTGAGGGACCAGCAGGCCACTGTGGCCAGCTCTGTGGACAGGTGACCGGCACTCGGCCTGTGCTGCCAGTGGGCGCTGTCTGGGTGAGGCAGCCGCCACGGCAGCCACAGTGAGCTTTGCTTCCCCCGTTTGCAAAATCAGCCCGAAGTCCTTGAGCCAAAGTCCATGCAACTGTGCGCACGGGTGAGACCCACGGACAGCGAGTGACCTGTCCTCCCTCGCGCTCTGTCCTCTGTTGGGCTGCAGCCCATAGACCCCCCCATCGCGAGTTCCTCTAGCCCTTGGTTTTGGTTTTTGGCCTCCTGGGGCAGTCTGGTGTCTGTTCCCGCCTGGCCTGCCGCTCCACCCTGAGCGCCCTGCTTCACAGCCAACGCGGATGGACCTTGAAAGCGTGACGCTCCGGGAAAGGACCACATACAGCAGGCCACGGGGTACGTGGTTCCCTTGAGAGGAAACGGCCAGAGCTGGTCATCAGGGCTGTGGGGTGCAGGGAGTGGGAGGGGCCTCCATCTGGGGAGATGGAAAGTCTGGAACTCGGCTCGGTGGAGGCTGCCCAGCACCGAGACGAGCCGAGCACTGGGGGTCTGTACACCGCCTGCTGGAACCCCTGAGCGCAGAAGCACAGACAGGTTCAGCTCAAGGACCGTCAACCACGGGACCTCGTGTCGGTTGGCTCCGTCCATGGGTGTGGCCACTCTGGGTTCTGCCCCCTCCCCCTCCCCCACCTGCCCAGTGTGACATCACCACCCTTGGGAGGCCCCCAGAGCAGCCGGGGTCCAGCAGGTGTGTGAGGAGACCCAGGAGAGTCCGTTCTCCCCACCCCCGGCGGTTAATACACCTTTGCCCTTTTTTAAAAACAATATTATTATAGTTTATGTTTACATCATTCGGTGCCTTTGTCCATCTCAGCCGCCATCCCCGTGGGCTTCCCGTCACCAGATCACCCGTGTGCCATCGCCACAGTCCAGGGCACTTCCCTCCCCCACCGTCGTTGATCCCATCCCCCACTCCACCCCAGTAAGATGTCTCTACCTTTACCCTTTTTTTAAATAAAAGTATCAAAGCATAACCTTGGCTGCAGAAAAAAAGTTATTTTTAGGGAGGGCCTTTGTCAAAAACCAAAAAGACAGCGCGTTTCCCCAGCCACACGCACAGTGTCTCCGTGGACTCCTGGCGTGGACTCCTGGCGTGGACTCCTGGCGTGGACTCCTGGCGTGGACTCCTGGCGTGGACTCCGCCCCGCCTCGGAGCGGCTGCGGTGTCAGGCTGTTTGAGAATCATCCTGGGGCCTCCCTGGGGTGCAGCGGGTTGGGGCGCAGCACTGCAAGCTCTCCGCAGCCGTGTCAATGCGGGTTCCATCCCCGGCCCAGAGGGGACCCCAGGGCGCGGCACGGCAGACCCCTGCTGTCTCCCCGCTGCTCCCCCCAGCAATATACTTCATCGATCTGCCTGTCCTGCTCCCCACTCGGTCTCTGGGGACGCCTCTCAGCCCCTCCCCCTCTGGCCTGTCCCCCAGTTCTGTATGCATAAATAAATCTTTTTTTTTTTTAAACAAAGAATCGTCTTGAGCTTCATAATGGCTCTGAAGCACCAAGAGAAGTGCGCAGCGTCTCCTCCCTCGCCGGACGAGCACAGTTATCTGCTGGAAGGGGCCCGTGGGGCCTCAACCAGCCGCCTCTAGACGGATCAGGCGCAAGTGAGCAGCAAAAGAACACCTGGGCCCAGGTGAGGCTTGAAAGGAACCGGGCTCGGGTTGCAGCCCGCAGCTCCATTTGGTGACGCTGGGGCGGGGCGCGGGGGCGCTATTTGGGTGCAGCAGCCCGTCGGGACTCCCCTGCGGCTACACTGGCACACGGGCTCAGGGAGGGGACCCCTGTGCTGGGGCGTCCAGGTGGAAGGGCAGAGCTTTCTGGGAAAGGGCACTCCCGTGTCACCCGGAATGATCTTCCTCCGCTCCTGCCGGTCCTGCCAAGGTCTGAGGCGCATTTACAACGCCCGGCACATGCATGCTGCCAGGACGTTCCTGCCATGCCCGAGTCCCGCTGCAGCGCGGAAGGTGCCCGAGGCCCCGGCTCGGCCACAGGTGTGCGCTCGGCCTCTGGACGGCCACGGAAACCGGCAGGTGCTCAGCGACGCGGAGCGGACTCGGAAATGCCCCACGGCACCCAGCGGGTCTCAAAGCAGGTGGGCGCGTGCCGTGTTTCGGGGTTCGTCAGCGAGAAATGGGGACTCAGATGCCACCGGCTGGGGCCGTGGCGCCTCCCGTGACTGTCACGTAACTGGAGTGCACGCGACGCTGCAGACGCTCCCGCGACCGCCAGAGTGGCCACGTGGCCCCGGCCCACCCACTAGACCAACAGACGCCGTCACTCGGGGCACGAACCATGCTGATCTGCTATTTATTGTCTCGACGGGTTGGGAGGACGGAGATAAATAAGGCATATGTTCACGTACAGAAAACTGCAGCCAGACTAACGGAGAGGATGTCACAGGCACGCTAGCCAGAGTCCAGCGGCCAGTGCGAGTGACCTCCGGGCTGGCGGCCACCCAATGCGTCACTGAGACAATGCCGTTCACATCCGATCAATAATGCCAGAGCCGGGGCGTCTCCGGGGCCTGCAGAACCCTCGCAGATGGCTCTGCGCGGCAAGGAATCGAAGGTGGGGGACTTTGGCTCTCCCAGCCCGGAAGGAGCCTGACCTGGCCATGGAGGAGACTCCAAGCCTGGCAGCTGCACCTGCTGTCTCAGGGATCTCTGCCCACCCGCACCCGGCCCCCTGTGAGCGGGGCTGGTGTCTGGGCGGCCGAGGGAACGGCCGAGGGAACGGCGGCCTTCCCTGCAGGACCCCGGGGCTGGCCAGCTCCTCTGGCCCCCTGTGCATGGTCAGACGCTGCGCCCCGGTGGGGAGCGTCTCGAGCGTCCGCTCAGAGACCAGATCTGCGGAGGTCAGGGAGAAGCAGCAGCCACACCAGGTGTGCAGGACGGATGAGCGCGGGGCAGAGGGCGCTGGGGGCGCCGTCCTGCGTGAATTCACCCCCGTGCACGGCGCCTGGCCGCCGCGGCCTCCCCGGGGCAGCTCTCAGTCCTCCCGGGGCGGCTCTCAGTCCTCGACCTTGCCCGTGACCGCGGCAGTGCTTCGGAGGCCGTCTCACCCCGCCCACCCGCGGCACAGACCCTTCTGCGTGAGCCCGGGTCGGGGGGCTGCTTTCGGTAGAATCCGGATGAGAAGCGGGCAGGACCCTACCAAGGGCCCACTGGAGGGTCCAAGGGTGGCCGCTGTCTACATCCAGGCGTGGCGGACAGAGGGACCCTGGCCTGGGCGCAAGTCCACTCCGGGGCACAGCGGAGGGCCCCCGATTCCCAAGGGCCCCTCCCGACAGGCCTTTGCTGCTGGGATTGGAGAGGCGCACAGGAAGTCGGGTCTCCGGTGGCTTCAGGATGGTGGGCTGAAAAGGAGCGTTCCAGAAGGACTCCCCACTGGCCCCCGCACCCCGCGGCTTAGCTCTGCAACGCCCCTTCTTTTATCTGTTGGATAAAAAGGTTCCGCTCGTCCTCGGGGGTCCGCCCGTTCTGTGCCCGTACGATGCACGTGGGCCGGTGGAGGTTCAGCATGTAGATCAAGTGCTGTTTCTCATTCTTGAGCTCCTCGATCTGGGCCTTCAGCTCGGCATTCACGCTCTCCAGCTTCTCCGACTCCTGGGGGCCAGACAGAGCTGTCGGGGCTGGAGCGGGGAACCAGCAGGAACCAGCACCCAGGACCCCACTTTGCCCCCAGCACCAGGCCAGGCTCCTGCGGACCCGGGGGCCTCGGGTCAGTCTCCAGCACCCCATCTCCGTGCGTCACTGATTTCAGGGGGACGCTCATGTCCCCAGAAAAGCTCACACATGCCGCCTTTGGGGGCCATGACCAGGGGTGCAAGGGGAAGGGACCCCGCCGCTGGAGAGGCTGCCCCCAGGGACCCCGGCCGCGGGGAAGGGTCCGCAGGAAGGGGCAGGGCCTCGGCCCATGGGATGGGCGGCGGGAGGCAGCGTGTGGACTGGGGAGGGGAGGGTTTGCAGAGACCCATGAAAGGCCTCCAGGGGGCGCGGGCCCGGTCCCCTTCTGGGGCACCTGAGCAAGCGAAGCCCCCTACGTGGGCAGGGAACCCCGGCCCGGCCCGGAGCTCGGCCAGGCCGTGGGGCACCGGCCAGGGCCACAGAGACGCGGGCGCCCGGCACCCTGTGGCCTCACAGGCACCTGTGAGAGAAGCTGGCAGCGTCTCAAGGGCAGGCGGGGAGGGGGGAAGCTTTGTGCCGCTTCTGGGGGGCGGGGAGGAGCCCCGGGGGGGCGGGGAGCACTCACCTTCTGCAGGCACTCCGTCTTCTCCTTCTTCTTGTTGCGACACTTGGCGGCTGCAATCTTATTTCTTTCCCGCCTCCTCTTCTTCCTCTCGTCCTCCTCGGGGGCTACCTAGACCGTCCAGAGGGCACGTGCTGACCGCCCCGCTCCCCTGCGCTGCCAGCGACATCAGGCAACGGGAGCAGCCTGATGCTGAAGGACCCCGGAGTCATGTCCCCTCACGCCCGCCATGCTCAAGCATGAGCCCTAAGGCCCCCCCGGGGCCGCAGCGGGTCAGGGCGCAGCACTGGGAAGCCAGAGCCGCTGCAGCGCGAGTTCGATCCCCGCCGGCCCTGGAGGGGACCCCCAGGGCGCAGCAGGCAGCAGACCCCTCCTGACTCCCCGCTGCCCCCCTCAGCAGTGGACTTTGTCCACCTGCCTGTTCTGCTCCCCGCTCTGTGTCTGGTGAAGCCTCTCACGGCCCCCGCACCTCTGGCCTGCACCCCAGCTCTGTGTGCATCCAGAAATAAACCTTTTGGCCTAAATAAAAATGCATTTGAATTTTGAAATAAGAGTACGATGTTCAAGCAGGACTGTGGGTGATAGCTGGGCCCGTGTCAAGCAGCAGACACGCGCCTTGCAAGGGGAAGTGGGTGTCCTGGACGAACACAGATACGAATACAGATACAGAACTCTACGGATACAGTTTTGGGGACTCCTCCCCCACCCCAGATACCGGAACTATGAGTCCCAGCATCACCCCAGTCCCAGCATCACCAAAGGGGTGACGCTGGGACCCCAGGGTGCAGTTAAGCAGCCACGTGGGATGTAAAACCAGACATGTGGGGTGCTTGGGGGGCTCTCGGCCTCGCGGCTGGTCTCTGGGCTCTTTGCCGGCTCTCAGCGTGCTCTGGGGGTTCCAGGTCAGCAAGACAATTAGGGCGTATTAATTAACTTCTCTCTCTCTCTCCCTGGGTGGTTCGTCTCCCTTTCTCTTGTAAAGAACCCCATTATTGGCCTCTCCGTGTGCGTCCGCAGCAGAGTCTTAAGCACACGGGTGAGGACCCACCTTGGGGTGCCCTGTCGCACCTTCGGTAATACGCCCACCCCCTAGAGCCTGAAGTGACCTCGGTGGCATCTCCTGGCCGCCCTCACCCCAGCCTCTGACTCGGGGTCCGGGGCACCCCACGCACGTCTCCACCGTCACCTGGCGCCCCGCGGCACCTCGTCCTAGAACTCACGAGAAGCCCCAAGGCTGCTGCTGGAGAAGAAAGCGGTGGGAGCTGAAACCGCCGTGGCTCAGCCAAGGGACTCTGAGCTCTTGCTCGGCGCCCCCGACCCCAGCGCGTCCCGGGGACCCTCAGCCCAGCGCCCATCCCGCCTGAGGGGCAGTTTCCAGGGAGGGTCACTCTGCCTCGGCCGGAGTTCCGGGGGGTGGTGGGGCACGAAGCGAGCCGTGGGCTTGCTTTTGGGGTGCAGTGGCTGAAAGGGCGACGGCCGATGGCCGGACAGGGCCCGAGCCGAGCTGGCACGGGGGGCTCCGGGACGCCAGGCCCCTCGCGTCCTGCGGGTGTGGCCTGGCTCTCGGAGCCGGTCTGGGGGTGCAGAGAGGTGGCCCGGGGTGTGGCAAGAGGCCTCCACCTCGGCCTCCCGGGTTTGGCCGGCACCGCCCCTGAGCCCAGCTTCACACCATGAGGCTTCTCCGTCCGCGTGGGGCCGCCCCCTGGCCCACCCCGTCGCCGGCTCACGGCAGCCCACCCGCCCGGAGCTCGGCCTGGCCCCGGCGGCCGTTGACCTCCCACCCTGCCCCACAGTCCTCTGGGCTCTGGCCTTCTCCACAGCGGGGCCCAGGGGGCGCCCTCTGCCTCAGACGACCCTGGAGTCCTGGCCCCTTCCACGCCGCCAGTCCCACCGGTCAGTGAGCCAGCTCGGCCCCCACGACAGAAGCCGGCCACTGCACCCCTGAAGCCTGTTTCTGGGTGCTCTTACGACCGCCCCGCTGTCTACTCCCAACGCCCTTAGAGCACAGGCCGGGGAGCCCCGCGTGCGTGGCCAAAGACGAGGCCCCACGCCCCTCCTCAAGCCACTGCCCCACCTCCCCGCTGCCCGCCACCCGCGGCCCTCCCTGACCCCACCGCTCACTGCACTGACTGCTTCGGGGAACACGGTGGTTTCTGGGGGCGGGTCCGTGGGGGCGCTGGGGGCAGGCGAGCGCCCCTACCTCAGCCTTGGTCACTGACATCTCGAGGGGCCTGCGGCCGGCCGGGGCCGACTCCAGCGCCGACATGTGCCCGCACAGGTGTTTGTTCTGGATGGCGAATCTCAGCTCTTCCTTGACGAACGGCGTCAGGTTAGCGAAGTCCTCAAACACCAGCGAGCCAGGCGGGGACAGGCAGGGGACCACGGCGCAGGCGCTGACTTCCGAGGCGGAGACCTGGCCCGGGTGTTGAAGCATCATTTTGCTGAAAGACACGTGGAGACCCAGCGACGTCAGGGACCGGGCACCGGCGTCCAGTCTCGCCGGCCCAGGCCTGCCGGGCGACTCCGAGGCCCGAGAACCCCCCACAGGACAGCGGAGGTGCCGGGCTTCTCCGCTTCCACCTCACGCCATCCTCATCTTGAGCGCAGGAGCTTGGCACCACCACGGCTCGAGCATGCGGGCAAAGCCGGGCCGAGGTGCCAGGGAGCGTTTTCCCCGAGCCACAGACCAGGCAGCGAGGCAACCGCGTAGCCCGATTTCAGTCTCGTTCTCGAGAGGAAACGTGAGGGTTTCTGGCGTTAGCAAGTGACATCCCTGGCGTTTCCAGGGGGTGGCGGGTGGCACCAGGTACATTAAACGAGGAAGGTTAAGGAGCAAGGGGCCCTCCCTGGTGGCACAACAGGTTAAAGCGCAGCACAGGGAAGCTGTCGCAGCTTCTACAGCGCGAGTTCGATCCCCGGCCCCGGAGGGGACCCCCGGGGCACGGCAGACCCCTCCTGACTCCCCCGCTGCTCCCTCAGCAGTGGGCTTCGTCCATCTGCCTGTCCCGCTCCCCGCTCTGCCTCTGGTGAAGCCTCTCTCCGCCCCTGCACTCTGGCCTGCACCCCAGTTCTGTGTGCATCAGTAAATCTCAAAGAAAAAGAAAAAAGAAAAGGGTAACGGTCATGCTTCTGCCTCCAACCCTGGCAGGGTTTTGGGGTGGTGGGGTTCAGGTCCCCAGAGTAAGCCTTGAGGCCCTTTCCAAGGTGAAGGTGAGTGTTGCAAAAGACGACGATAAAGCCAAGTGGGGCGACAGGAGTTTGGACTCTCTCCGGGGGTGCTGGTGAGCCCCGGGGGGTCAGGAAGGGCACCTGGAACCAGCTCTGGGGCCAACGAGAGGTGTGACCCCAGCTCGAGTCTCGTCTCTCTGCCCCCACGCCTGCCGAGCCCTCAGGCGCACAGATGCCTGTCCTGGCGACGGGCGGCCATCACATCACCGGCGGTCTTGAGTCCCACCCACAGCCCGGAGAACCCAAAGGGACAGGGAAGATAAAGGGTAGACAGAGCAAGAGTCACATGCACCCCCAAAGGCCTCCCTGCCGTGAACAGTAATCCCCCGAGTCTCGGGTTCCTCTCCCGAGGGTCAGCCGCGGTCAGCTGCGGCCCCAGAATGCCACGGACAGTGCGGTGTTCCAAGCGAGACCACGAGACGCCACGTGGCCTGCAGGGCGGGCCATTACTGCTGATTTACCCTTAGCCTGTCTCCCGCCCCTCCGCGCCTGGCGCCGAAGTTCTGTAGTGATGGGAAGTAACACCGTGTCCTGGGATCGGCGTCGGCTGTTCAGGCACCCGCGGGGGCCCCGGGGTGGGGGGTGTGGGGGGTCGGGGCCCCTGGCACCCCTCCTGCAGGCCTGTTCTTCCAGCTGAGGGAACGAGGTTTGGCCGAGCAGACGGTCAGAGGCGGTTCGAGGCGGCGTCAGGCTTTGGCGTTTGGGGCGGGTCCAGCGCTCACTTATGGACACGGCGGCGAGTGGACTTTTGGGGGGCGCGGGGGCTGGAGGTCGTGAACCAAAGCCAGAGGGGAGCCTGGGCCAGGAGCCACCCTGGGCCTCTCTGGTGAACGGCGGCGGGCCCTTCCGCGTGGAAGCCGCGCCGGGCCTGCCCGAGTCCCCGGGAGGTGGACGGGTCTGCTGTCCACAAGGGTCAGGCTGCATGGCTCCAGGCCCCTGGTCCACAAACCCGTGGGCCAGGCGGCCCCTTCCAGGGCTTTCCCTCTCCAGGGGCCCTCTGGTGCCACGAAGCCCAGGGGACATCTTGCAGGGGAGGCCCGCGGGTCTCTGCTGCCGTCGGGGGGCCGTGTCCCCAGCCACTTGAAAGCCAGGTGTCACCTGGGGGCAGGCGTAGGGCTGCTGTCTGTGTGGAACCTGCTGCGGCTCACTCACGCTTCCTGGCCTCAGTCTCCACATCTGTGAAACGGCCCTGCAGGGGTCAGGCTTGTACGGGAAGCTTGCATCCATTTTGCAGAACGGCGGTGGCTTGCAGGTCCGTGACTCCTGGCCCCGGGGCCGCTCAGCCAGGCTGGTGCCCAGACGCTTGGGGTCCGGCAGAAGGGTGCTCACACCCTTTGGTCCCGAGCACCCCGACTTCTAAGTGCCCCTTAATATCTGAGACCCTCCGAGGGAGCTAACACTGCAGGCTCTCAGGGCGCCAGGGCTGACGGGAGGCCCGGGGAGGGGCGCGGCTCTCTCCCCACAAAGCCCACGATGAGTCAGGATGATGTTTGAATCTTCTAATCTTCGGCTCCTGGTAGGAGCGTCCGGGGCAGGTGACGGACCAGCTCTCTAAAGCCAGAGGCTCGAGATTCGCCCATGCATTCAGGGCCCCCCTCTCTAGCCTGCCTGAACCCCCAATAAGTGAGGGTGGGACCCAGGCGGCAGTGGGGGGCAGCTGCCTTCTACATAGCAGTGGGAATCTCAGCTCTTCAGCTCAGTTTAGTGCGGAGCAGTCAGGGCGTGGGGTCTGCTGTTGGGGAACCCCCCGACCCCCCTCAGTTGAAGTCCAGCAGCTCTGGCGAAAGAAGCCGGAGAGTGTCAGTGGTGTGGAATGTTTCCGTGAAAAGCTTCAGCTGGGCCGACTTGGGGACGGGAATGGGACCCCAGAACGTGGATGTGCTGAGACGGCCCCGGCTCGCTCTCCATCTGCCAGTCAGACTCGGCGGCTCTTTCTCGCTTGGGAAACGCAGTGGCCTCGTCAGGCAGAGTCCGGAGCGCGGAGACCCTCCGGGGGCATGAGCCCCGCGTGGGGATTTCTGGGCGGACTTTCTGCCCAGGTCTGGCGTGTGTCCCGCCCAGGGCGGCCCTGGACTTCTGCCTCTTATCAGAAATCATGTCATTGCACGGGCAGTTTCATCATTTTCAAGAAACTGAAACTTCACTCATGAATTTCTCTAACTGGAAATTCTGCTCCCAGGTTTTATTTCCTAGCAGTCACAACGAGGCTGAATTTTCACTTTTAATTTTCATCTGGTGCCACGAAGCCCGTGACACATCTTGCCAGGGGAAGCCAGCCGGTCTCTGGTCTCTGCTGCCATGGGGACCGGGGAGGGGGGTGGCCAGCGTCATGAGGCCTCCGGGCCGACTCGCACGCCTCTGGGCAGCCACTTCGTCCACTCTCCTTATTCAGAGGAACGGCCAGGTCGCTCAGCCCCCTTACGCCAGGGTCACGTGAAAGCCGCAGGAGCGTGGGCCAGTCCTGGCCTCTCGGGCAGCGGATGGATGCCGGTGGTCCGGGCGCTGCACCCCAGGTCAAGCCCACTCCCACTCTGCAGTCCACGCTGGGCTGATGTGTGTGGGAGAGCCGCAGCTCTCAGAGCAGAAAGCAGGGCTCCCTGGCAGCCTCCCCTTGTCCCGCCCACGGACTTCCTCCTCCCACCTCCTTTGGGCTCTGTGAGGTGCCAGGGAGCACTGGACATCGGTGTCAGTGGTCAGGTCCTCATGCGGTCACGGAAAGGTCCAGCACGGTGGCCAGACAGTTGGCGAGTGGCCCGGCTTATGCCAAGCTGGTCCAGCCAGCGGTGGGGTCCCACGCTGCCGGGACCAGACAAGTGACGGACGAGATGAGGGTTCAGCCCTCCTGAAACCTGGAACTCACCCCAGGAGACTTGGGGGGAGTGGAAGCCCACACCCCAGTCTGTGCGCAACAGATGCTGAACACAAAGTTAGGGGGCTGCCATGCCAAGCCCCCCTTCCTTGAAAGTTGGGGAGACAGCGACCCACGTTGAAACAGGTGCACCCAGATTTTCTAGTTTCCCAGGCTGTTTTCCTGGTTGTAGCCAGGATTCAGCGACACCTTTACTTGCAAGAGAGACTGGGAGAGCTGGCGAGGGAAAAGGAAGTGGTGAGCGGGCAAGGAAGGAGAGGGGCTGTGGTGGAGGCGGGGAGCAGAGAAGCAGCCATCCTGCAGAGAGAGGTGGGGCACCCCCCCAACTCTCAGGGAAGTGCGGCAACTCCCTGAGAGGCTGGGGGTGACCTTGGAGACCCCTCATCCAGGCGGGTCCCCTCCTCCAGCAGCCGTTTCCTCTATTATCTCTCCACTGACTTCGCACCTGCCCCCACCCCCATGCGTCTTCCAGGACAGAGCTGAGGAATCAGCCACCGACAGCGGCGGGGAAGAACCAGAGCTGGAGCCACAGGTAGGAGAGAAAGCGTGAGACTGCTCAGCACGGGGCGCCCCAGCCTGCCCGCGCTCCTGCCCGCACCCCAGTCTGTCCCGAGCGCTCCCCGACTTGCATCTGGACTGCGAGCCCGGCACCCCGCTCGCCTCCAAACTCTAAACTCACCGAGAAACTTCGCGCCGGCTGGAGGCTCGCCCCGCCCCGCCCCGCGCCGCGCCGCGCCGCGCCATTCATCCCGACCCGGCTGGGGCTGGGGAGGGATGGGCTTGGGAGTGACCGCGACCGTGCCGGCACCGCGAGCCGGACAGAGCCGCAGGGCCACACGCGGGACGGGACTCCACGGGACAGGACCCCATGGGACGGGCCCCCCCG